ATAGGGTATAACAGGTGAACGTAATAGAAGCCTATAATGGCACTGATATTTTACATTTTCTTTTTATTTTAAATTAACATACTATGAAATTGATCTATCAATAAATACTATAATACTAATTTGAAATATACTTTCGGTACTAAAAAATAACAAAATGTTTGAACTAAATTAATAAATCAATTAAAAACTGTCTAAATTAAAATAATACGTACTCAATTAGTAGTATTTGTGACATAGGCTTCTATTCCATTCACCTGTTACATCTTAGATATATATATAAAAGCGTTTATTTGTTTCTCCAATCACAAACGTGAATTCAGTGATTAAACTAGATATACAATCAAAGTATTATGAAAAAAATACATAAACTTAAGATCTAAATGTACATGTGTGTTGCAGTTAAACAAATGGGTCGTAGCTCAGCGATTAATGTTGCTCAGAGAGCAAACACTGATTTTAAGCTATTACCCTCGAGATGGCGAGAAGAAAATGAGCACAATAGAGCAAAAAAAGAAATAAAGAAAAAACTATATTTTTTTTACACTTTAATACTATTGTAGTGTAATTACGTCTGAAAGATGTCTCCTTTCAGCTCTATGATTTATATCTTGGATTTAATTCAGTAAAAAATTACGGAAAAGATGTGTAAGACTGCGTACCCAATTAAGGCTAGTACCTAAATGACTTAACCAACCATGATGAGTTAGTAAAAGAAAAAAGAAAAAAATAAAATGCCATGGTTTATAACTGGCAAATATATAAATATATCCTATTTTTTTCTAGACGATAAGAAATTTACTAGAGTTACACAATTACAAGTAGGGTAATACGACAGTGGTATACGACAATGAGAAAGACGTCTTCATGCAGCGTTCCCAGCACAGATAAAAAAGCGTCTTCGTCGTCGGCGGCGTCGTCGAGATTTCGGTTAGGTAACGCTCTCTGGCATGATAATGTGATGACCCCCGTAAGTCGAGTTGCAGCAACAGCAACTGTTGGTTATTGGATGCTGTGACCCAACGACATCTATCCTCGATTGAGGACTAAGATGGAGTACTTTATTACCAGTAAAAAGAGTACCCAGTTTTCGTCACTATGTAAAACATATCATTATTCTGCAATTATACGTAAGCATTCTGTGAAAGCGTGGTCCTTCACCGGTCGAGTCGATACGTTCGTGCTGCAGCCATAGCAGCCATACTACGTTGTTGTGGGCTTTAACACGTAAATTTTACGCTGCAGTATAATTCAATGATGATAAAGTATAGTCGAGGGGATTGGCAGTAATCACCACTTACAGCAGTTAGTTAGTTCGATTACAGCATTACAAAAGACACTACAGATGTAGCTCAGCAATGTGCATTTTTCTTAAGCAGTGAGAAGACATTTTCGTGTAATGTGCAAACGAGCAATATGTTTATTTTCCAGTATAGTGCGCAATAAAGTCCCAGAAAATATACAAGGTCTCCTATTACCAAGTTAAATATATAATTAAACAAAAACTCTATAAAAAGGGTTCTTATGATATAAATGAGTACATTTGATAATAACCCCTGGGAAGAGGCCTTCCAAGCTGTTTCTAAAATAATTTACGTAAATATTTTGTAAACATTAAGATTGGAAAATTTATTTAAAAAAGTCCCGCGGGTTTCTTTCAGTTCTTCCAAACAGACAGGCAGAAAGACAGAGTGCTTTTTTCAAACCAGGTAAAGAAATGACTTTCAAAGAATTACAGTAATCTATATTGAAAAAAAAAGTAAAAAAAAAATTGGCTTTAGAATATTTCGCAGGATATATTCTAAAAAATACGCAAGTGAATTAATTGTTAATCAGTTGAAATCGTCAAGAAAATATACAGTTACCGAAATAATTATATAACCTACACAGACACAGGAAATTCACAAAGCACCAGAAATCCCCCATCCTTAGAATTCATCGTTTGTATATAGGTTGTCAGTTATTCTGCAGATGTCTTTGATATCCCAATGAATCAGTAAGGGAAGGTCGCAATGGATTTCCAATAGCGTAAAAATGTTTGAGTAAATGTTGGCTCCATCTATTTGACACCAGGCTAGCGACACTAGCCCCTTGCACAGTGTATTTTTTGGAAAGCTAATAATCAAACAAAACTCTTATTAAAACTCTCCCGGCTCTAACTACTATAGTATTAGTACTAAAAATATCCAAGGCTTTGGTGACACGATATTTTTATACCATCATTATGTTTTTATGTTAATTTTTTATATTTTAAGAGAATGAAATATTATTATTTCTGTACATATTTTGAAAAAAGATCCATCTTCTTCTCAGTCGATACGCTCTTGACAGAGCGGTCGTGGTCATCACTTGGGTGTTGTGGCACGCTTTACAATACGCCTCCACTCCTCCCTAACAGCTGCCTTTCTTGTGCACTCATGCAACGGGACATCCACCGCAGCCCTCACCTGGTCTGTCCATCTCATAGGCGATCTGCCACGCGCTCTAGTGCCCTCTACTCTTCCCTGGACCACTAGACGTTCAATCGAGATATCATTACGTCTAGACACGTGACCAAAGAAAGTGAGTATGCGAGCTTGCACAATAGATGACAGACGTTGCTTGATGCGGAGTTCTTCGAGAATGGACTTATTGGTCCGGAATTCGGTCCAGGACACTCTCAGCATTCTTCTCCAGCACCACATCTCGAGAGCGTCTATTCTCTTCTTCTCACTTTCTCGCAGGGTCCATGTTTCCGAAGCGTAGAGGAATATGGGGAACACAAGCGCTCTAATTAACCGGGTCTTAGTGGCTTTTGTTATGTTACGGTTCCTCCATATCTTCCGCAACTTATCCATGGCTGTCCTAGATATCGCCATACGTCGTTTTATTTCATCTATGCAGCCCCCGTTGCTCGAAATTAGCGCTCCTAAATAAATGTATGATTGGACTACTTGACAGTTCGCGATTTGTGTCACTTCCGGCGAGTTATTGTTGATGCGATCGACAATCATAACTTTAGTTTTGCTGCGATTGATCCGAAGGCCGAATTCAAGACTGACGTTTTCCATCCTTTGTAGGAGTTCTTCCATATGGCCGATACTAGTCGCAAATAGGGTAGTGTCATCCGCGTATCGTAAGTTCGAGATTTTCAGCCCTCCAATTGAGACTCCATCAGTCCAGTTCTCGAGAGTGCGTCTCATTATTAGCTCTGTGTAGATGTTAAATAGAAGTGGGGAGATTATACATCCTTGACGAACGCCAGCACTAGGATGAAAGTGATCTGACAGCTTGTCGTCTGTTCTTATGGATGCAGTACCACCTTCGTAAAGACACCTGAGCAGATGTACCAGATGTTTTGGTGTGCCCATTCTCAGCAGGGTGTCCCAAAGTTTACGCCACTTGACGGAATCAAATGCCTTGGAAAAATCCACAAAGCAGATGTATGTTGCCTTATTGTACTCGCGAGATTTCTCAATAATTTGTCGCACGATAAGTATTTGCTCCCTGGTACCCCTCCCTCTAACAAAGCCAGCTTGCTCTGGAGCAATCTCCTTGGACAGGTAGGATTTCAGGCGCTCGTTTAAAATGTGCAGCAAAATTTTACTTGCATGAGGAATTAGCGCAATAAGGCGATAGTTGCTACACACTTTCGTAGAACCCTTCTTGTGAAGTGGAATAAAGACACTATGAGCCCATTCTTTCGGCCACGCACCTGTCTGCCACACCCTGTTACACAGTGCATGAAAAATTTGGACGCCATATTCTTTTGAGGCTTTGATTGTTTCAATGGGAATCGAATCCTTGCCTGTAGCTTTTCCAGTCTTCAGATGTTTTATAGCCGCTCTGATTTCGTCCTTCAGAATGTTTGGCTCTTTTTCTTCGTCCATGGGTTCTGCCGAGGCAAAACACTGTGATTCCACGTCCTCAAACAGTGATTGACAGTATTCCTTCCAAGTTTCCGATATTGCTTCTATCTCTGTCACTGTTTGACCATGAGAGTTCTCTATAGCCCATGTTTTGGTACAGAGAGATCGGGTCATCGATCGAATTTTTTGATGAAGGTCCCTAGATTCATATTTATTTGCATGGCTTTCAACTTCTGCACATATATTCTGAAAATGGGCGTTAAGGTCTCGCCTACATGCTGTCTGTATGTTTGCAGACTTTTCATTTAATGTCCTCACATCTGTTCCCGTAGCCTTCATCTCTCGTCTTTCCTTTACAAGAGCCAGAGTGCTGTCACTCATCCAGTGTTGCCTTTTACGAGTATCTGAGGTTGGAGCTGTTTGCTTGACAGCGCAACTAATAAGGTTCTTTGCGCAATCCCACATTTTATCTGGACACTCGGTCTTAGAGTTCACAATTGCCCACTGATTCCAGTTTTCCTCTAATGCGGCTAAAAATTTTGATCTATCCTTTACTTCGAGCCTCCGCTGTTGAACAATTTTTCGGGCCGCTCTTAGCTTAAGCTGAATTTTGGCCATCAGCAGTTGGTGATCTGAACCACAGTCGGCTCCTGGTAAAGTGTGGGTGTTCCTGATGGATGAAAGATCCATCACTGTACAGCAATTAGTGACTTCCTAGAAACAATTTAACCAAAACGATCAAGTTTTTCGTTGATCGAAAAATGCCCATTAAAGAATATGGCAAAAATGTAACATGCACCATATTTTCTCAGAACTGTACCTGTTTTCACCTTAATATGTTGCTGTTTACATATGATTATTTTCTTAATGAATTCAACATAAAACGTGATTTACACATTATTATTAACGTTATAATCATTAGACAATCAAAACAAAAGACAATGTAATTAAAAACCAACATGCAAAAAAGGCTTTATTAATAAAATTAACATGCATTAAGACAAATAATCAAAAATATTAGCTAAATATTACACTTAAAACATTAAAAAAATCATAGACATACAGAAATCTTAAAGATTAAGTAGTAAATAAGAATCATGCAATAAATGTTAAGAAATTAAAAGGCGTGCAAATAAAGCGTGATCATTCACTGACCATTTTTACCACTACCCGGCGAAATAGGCTGGGCACGGAAGAATTTCCCCATGTTTGCTCGTTTCAAGTTTAACTGCGGCAATGATTTCTGTAGTGTGTCCACACAGTGCGACGCTGGCTTAACAGCTTGGCATTGGCTCCTATAAAAACATGTTTATGTTTTTTTAAGTCGTAATAATATACACTCGCAAAAACTACTTTCCGTGTAGTGCGGTGTAAAATATGAACTTACCTCCATATCATCCCATCCGTATCGTAAGAGACGGCAGGGAGAAACAAATCGAGAGATGGGCAGCAGTGACTTCTTCATAGCGTTCTTCTTCATCAAGCGTGGCAACTATGGCAAATATCCCCCTTACGAGGTCTATGATCAGCAGTGGACTTTAATACAACTCGCGGCACGAAAGTCCAGCGGTGATCGTTATTGCGCATAGTTGGCCCTATTGCATTATTGCGTATGATTGGCTGTGTGTATCGTTAGCACGCGCTGATTGGCTCTCCAGTCGTTGTTTTTTCCCAAACCAGTCCTCCAGTCGATGTTTAGTCCTAACCATGAAGGTTAGAGAACAGGAGAACGATCGCCGTAGAAAATAGTGTCCCAGAAATATGGACACCATCATTGAGGCGCTGCGATCACTAAGTGCACTCAACCACGCAAAATAAAATATTTCTCCATTTTTTAATGTTTCTCTTTGTCAATAATTACAAAATTACGGAACATGAAAATTTTCTACGAAAAAATGAAATGAAAATTTGTACAATATTCAACTAACTTCACCTACTTGTACTCATAAACAGCTAACTTCGCAGTCACTACTCACCGACGTCGCTATACATTCTACAATTTTCAAGGACAGGCGGGTTATGCTTTAGTACGTAGTGATCCGTTCTCCTGTTCTCTAACCTTCATGGTCCTAATTGAAGTCCAGTCACGGAGCGACATCCGATAAGCGTAAGAACTATTACTCCTCATTGCCACCGCTTCCTTATTTATATTTGTAGGAATAAATTGATATAAATATCATTTAATTCCCAAAAAGAGGCAGATATACAGGATTTTGTGTTCTTTATTTAGCACTTGTTTTTCTTTTTTTCTTTAGCAAAGTCCTCCCTTGATACAATATGAACATTATATGGAAAACAAAAAGTTATCATGAGAAGGTAATATGGGATAGTGGTCTTAAATTACTTATCAAAATTCGCATAAAAACTTACTTTAAATTTCTTTCTTCTGGCAAGGACATCGAGCGCCCAGTTTTTCTATTAGCTTCATATATCCACCGTTCGTGAATTGCCACCAGAGGCTTCACGTTGACATTGGCTAGAACTTCCTCCTCTACTTTGTACTTTGTACTCGTACTATCGCGTGATGATTTGAACGACCAGGAACCGGTTCTATCGCGTGGTATTATTTCATCGGTTTCCGAATACGTGACGAAATCGTGGGGTGGATCCACTCTGTAATATTTTAATAAAATTACTGCTTTTATCACCAGTGTGTTTGTCATAGAAAATAGAACTTTATATATGTATGTTTAACAATTGTACCGTCTTAGCCCCGTAAAACTATTGCGAGCAGTGTCTTCACTTTCCACAGATGTCTGTGTACTCAATTGCTTTGAAGAACTTTCGGAATCCGCTTCATTCTCCATCGAAGTGTTGGCAGATATAGCCCGCGTTTCAGATTGTTTTTTAGTCGCTGAAAGACGAAACAGAAATAAACAACATAACTCAACAAATAAAACATAAACATAACATTGCGCCTGCCACCCAGAGGGTTAGGCAAAGATTATGAACTTCTATTTGGCACGATTCTAACTCTCTCATCTCCTTTACATCCATATACAAACACTAGACACAATAAATATATTATAAACTAACAACTGCCTCGTTGGTCTAGTGGTTGTATTAGTGCGACTGCTAATCATGAGGTCCTGGGTTCGAATCCCGGGTCGAGCCAACAATATCAATTAATGAGTTTTTTTTGTCAAGAAATTCTCAGTAGCTGCCCGGAGTCAACAAGTTGGCGGTGTCTCACCCCCCGTTCCTCGGAAAGCACGTAAAGCCGTTGGTCCTGCGCTTGATCTCTCTCCGGTCGTATCGGTTTACCTCCCATCGGATTATGAGAGTGAGGGAATAGAGAGTACACCTGTGCTTGCGTATACACTTGGGCACTATAATCCTGTCCTGCGCCGATGGCTAGCCTCCGTTGAGGCAGGCCGCCGTGACCGAAATTCGGTCTGGAGGACATTATTATTGTTATTATGTTTTGTTTAGTATTCTCTCGTTACCGAGGTATTATACCTTTTTCGCGGGCTGTTAGCCAAACTAAATCGGTTAAGTGTTTAATCTTTAGATAAGAACTTACGAACTATTCTGCAAGTATTCAATATTGCGGCTTTCTGTAGTGATATAAAGGTAAGTTTATTGCTATCTAGTTCCTTTAAGCTAGAAAAGAGTGAACGGGGAATGACGCCAGTTGCTGATATTATGATAGGTATAGTTTTTACTTTCCACTGGGATTTTATTTCGATGGATAAATCAGTGTATTTGGCTATTTTTTATTGTAAGTAGAGGACAAATTTGAGTATTTGGTATAGCAATATCTATAAGATAAACAGATTCGTTTCTTTTGTCACGTAGCGTAATATCCGGTCGATTATAAGCACGGTCTTATCAGTTAATATAGTTCTGTCCCAATAGAGTTTGAATTCACGAGAGTCAAGTATGATTTCTGGTTTGTATTTATAATATGCTATTTTTTCGTCTATAAGTTTATATTTATGCGAGATACTGATGAATGATGGCAGCTACTTGGTCGTGTCTATGTTTATAGTCGGTCTGTGTTATTAAGCTACAGGCACCAGTGATATGCTGAATGGTTTCGGAACTATTATGACAATGTCTGCAAAAGTCTGATTGTAGAGTGTGGTCTTTAATTATATTCCTGTAGTTTATTGTGTATATAGTTTAGTCCTGAATTGCTAACATAAAGCCTTCCGTTACAGGGAAGAGTTCTCCGCGCTTGAGCCACATGTTAAACGCTATCTTGTCTACGTTTGTGTTCATCAAGTCGCGGCGGTGTCTTCCATGTAACGTCTTCTGCAACCAGCTGTTAATTTTATCCTGTGCAGCGATAATACTTTCGTTTTTCTGTTTTCTTTGATCTTTGAGATTTAAAGGAGTAAATTTAGTATCGGCTTCAACAACAACATTATGAAGCGGACTAATATTGGCTTGTTGATGAAAGAAGTTTCGAATAGCTGAAATTTGAGAGTTATGAAGATTTTTTATATCAATGACACCTCTTCCACCTTCTACTTTAGGTAATGTGAGTCGTTCGCTACAAGATCTAGGGTGGTGTTTTCTGTATTTAGTCATAGTTGTATTGATGAGACGTTGCAGCTTTATTAGGTTACTTTTAGACCAATGAATTATACCGAATGAGTAAGTTAAAATTGGGATGGCGAATGTGTTTATAGCTTTTATGGTGTTTCGTGCATTTAGATGTGTGTTAAGTATTCTATTTAGGCGTAATTTAAATTCTTTTTCTAATGTTTTTAACGTGTTTTTGGTGAATCTGTCGTGTTTGAGTAAATCCTAGATATATATGGCCAGCGTTTTCATGTACAGATTTAATGGTTTCACCTGTCTGGAGAGTATATGAATTATGTTCTACTTTGCCTCTACGAAGTGATTGTATCCTATATTTATTTATTCCAAATTCCATTTGAATATCAGTTGAGAAGCTTTCCGTTATGTCAGCAAGAATACGTAAATCTTTTAAACTACTTCCATACAATTTTATGTCATCCATATAACGTAAATGTGATAGTGTATGATGTGTATTTCCATTGGTGATTTTATATCCCTGGTCATTTCTATTGAGAAGGTTAGATACAGGATTTAAAGCTAGGCAAAACTAGAGGGGGCTTAAGGCATCACCTTGAAAAATTCCCCTTCGGATTGTTATTGTATCAGTCCATCAGTCTCTAAACAGGAGTCACCATTGTATAGCTTGAGAGTAGTTCTCCAATGAAGCATTGTATTTTTCAAGAATTCTCTAATTTTGTGATGAATTTTATAATGTTCATAAAATGTATATTAGCCAGCAATGGGGTACTGAGTCAAATGCTTTTTTTGTAGTCAATAAACATGGTGAAAATATTTCTTTTTTGGTGACTGCTTGTTTAGAGACGATTTCGTCAATTAACAACTGTTCTTTACAACCTAGACTAACTTTTCTGCATCCATTCTGTTGTTCTGCTAATATATTATGAGAGATAGCGTGCTTGTAAATTAATTGGCTAAGACAAGACGTAATGATCTTATAAATGTTTTGGAGGCAAGTAATTGGCCTGTATTTGGCTGGATTTTTTGAGTCACTTCGGTCTTTAGGTATCATGTAAGTTGTTCCTAGCGTAATTTATCTGGGCAATGAATCTGGTGTTTTTATAAAAGTATTGATGTGTGACAGTAAGAGCGGATGTAAGTAAGTAAACTTTTTATACCAATAATTATGGATTTTGTCGCTTCCAGTCGCTTTCCAGCTGTGTGTTTTGTTAATAACAGATGTGGATAGATTCATGTCTATTTCGTCGAACATCATTTCTGGTAAATCTACTAATAGTTCCCTATCCTGTTTAATCAAGTTGCTTTCTCTGTGTGTTTTGGGGTTTGACCATATGTTGGACCAAAATTGATGCAGCTGTTCTGTTTCAGGTATTTCTCCTAATTTATTATTATCATGTGTGTTAGTTGGGTTTCTGTAGAATGTTTTTTCATTATTATAAAATGCTGCGTTTTGTTGTTTTCTTAGAGTGGTTTCTTTATATCTACGTAGTCGGTTTGCAAGTGAACTAAGCTTTTGTTTGAGGGTGTCTAGAAAATGTGCTAGTTCCTTGTTTTCGTGTTCATGCATTGAATGTATTTTATATGCTGCTGTAATTTTTTCTATTTCGCGTTTGATCTTAGTGCTTGTATTGCCATTTATATATTCCGTTAGTCTTCCTATTTTAACTCTAAGATTTGAGATTCTGTCCTCTAGTCTCATTTGCCATTTAGGGGCGTTTTCCATTTCAAGAGTTATTTTCAGGGTCCATTATTTTGTATCCATTATAAATTGAAACAGTAGCAGCTGCACAATATATAGCATTTTGAATCGTGTAAAAGTCTGAATCAGGCGGTACATGGACAGGAAGCAGCGAGTGGTTAATGTAATGTACAATACAAATCACGCCAGTTTTTTAGAAGTTTTTTGTTTAGGTATGCTAGGTCTAGTTGTAGGATCGACGTTTTTATATTTATTTAAAAGCATTGCAAATGTCCCATCAATTTTATTTCGTATGTCCCCAAGAAGTTTGTTGTCATTTTGTTGAATTTCATTATTGTCATCTTGTTTTACATTATAATCTGGGTGTAATTGTATCCGGGTAAATTTGAATATTGCTTGATGAGATTAGGCTTTCATGTGTCCCGAGATTCTCAGTGGCGGGCTGGGTGTAGTCAAATCTATAATTGTCTTGTTCTTACAAGTCAATTATAGATTTGACTACACCCAGCCCTTATATTCTTTATGTCAGGTTCTGTGTCGTTATTTGCCGTTTTATTCTGGGTAGATCTCTATTGCAATTTCATCCTGTAATTCTTGGAGTCTACTTGCACTTAATAGTTTATTATTAATGATTGCTCTGTATTGATCTGCTACGCGTTGCTCAGATACGCGAGAAAGATGTGGGAATTTGGTGATAAAAGATTGGTGTAGAGGACGTCTGTAAGCAGTTTTGTTAGTCCCAACAGTAGTAATTCTACAGAAACTTTTTACGATGAATTCATTTAAATTGTTATCCCAGTGCATTCTTTGGTTACCGGTTACTATATTATTAATTTGCGGGTGCTCGTTGTTATGGTTATTGTCTAAGTAGGTTTTCACTTCCTCACATATTACTTGAACCTGTTCAGCAGTTAATAATTTACCGTTAGTTATTGCCCTACGTTGGTCACCTACTCGCTGTCTGCTAACATCTATGTCTGGGTATTTTTCTATAAATTTTGTATGAAGTTGGGGAAGGTATGACCTAATGTTTTTTGTTTCCATAGATGTGATAGTAAGGTATGTGCGCAGTATAAAAATATGCATATCTTCACTCCATTTCCTGCGTGCACGTTTACTAGCTTCGGCGGGTGCAGAATTGTCAGCGCTTGCCTTCTACACAACATCCGTAGCTGTTGACGAAGAAATCGATTCAGAAGCATCGAACTCCGAGAGACTAGCGTTGGTCGTTTGATAGTTGCGAGAGATACCTGCCCGGAGATTCATCTGGCCCCGTAAGCCGGGCACTAGGGGCATGTTTTTCTTATTTGTACTCATATTAGTTTTTGTTCTGGACAAAAATAACCCACCACGTTTGTCCAATAGCGATGAGTCGCAGTAGACTTCCTAACTGAGCCTGTGGGCGCCGCCGTTGGTACACAAGATACTCCTCCACCGCCGCCATGAAACTGACATCCCAATGCTAGTTGCACTACCTAAGCCTCGACTCAAGCCTAAGAGCCTTACGTAGCCACTTAGATGGATATACCGCCATCGGTCGGTTCGCCATTCGCCTCGTTTGTTGACAGCAGGGTGCACCACGTGCAGGTAAGGTTGGCTTGGAGTCGTTCCCCCGATTGACTCCCTTACACCCCTTATTATTATTATTATTATAAACTAACAAAAAAAATACCTTTCTCAAGTTCCTAAAAATCTTATATAAATATATATTTTCTATGTAAACGGATGCCGAAATCTTCAATTACTATAAATAAAAATTGTTGAAAGATTTCGGCAATATTTTTAAGTGCAGGATAGTGAATAGTGGCAGTTGTTGCCTCTGATCTAGTGATTGTAAACGCGATTGGTGATCCCGTGTGATCCGATGTGGTCCCGAGTTTAAACTCGAGTAGGTCCAAAATCATTTATTTCGTTTTACTATCAAGAAATTCTCAGTAGAGGCCCAGTGGTAGAAAGTTACACACCTAGGCTTATGAAGGCACATAAGGCCGTTGGTTCCGCGCATGATCTCCCTCTGGTCATGAGGGAATAGAGAGCACCTATGCTTGCGCATACACTTGGGTACTATAGTTCTGACCTACGCAGATGGTTAGTCTCCGTTGAGACTAACCGCCGTGATTGAAATTCGGTCTAGAGGACATTAGTTAGTAGTGGGTATCAACTCTGTTAAGTACAAGAACATCCCTAGAGCTATAAGTCAGCAATACATCATCGGTCCACTGCAATGCTTCTAATTTCACACAGACAACACGAGGTCATAGAGGTCACATATTGTATTAAGTATTTTTTTTTTTGTAATAAATTAATAATAATAATAAGTTGAAGTAAATTGTTTTCTGTTTTATTCTACCTTACGGCCGTACGTACATAAACCATAAACATTAGTGCGACAATGTCATAGATATTTTCAATTTTCATTCAACATTCATTCATTACAGTCTTTCAGAAGAACACAGCTGATTATAGACCTCCTCTACAGGTTTCGCCACAACCGATAGGCGAGTTAGCAACGGCAGTTTTATTAATTTGAGCTAACAGCTCACGGGAAGATCCTGCTGACCATCTTCTGGTTCAGTTTCCCTCTATCACCTCTTACGATACCCACGGAATGATATTAGTGGTAGTAGCGGTTATTCTTAAGCCGACATTACACAGCAGCTGGAATTGTCCACAAACAAGAGAAACATTTGTATCAATAGAAAATACAAAAAAATATGACAATAATATAAAAGTAATGTTACAGCATATATACTGTTGCGCGCCACAGTTGATGCCTAGTACTAGCGCCATCTATTATCAAAAAGAAGAACTAAGCTTTCTAGAAAACTCCACACTCGAATTTTCTACACTTAGTCGGTCGGGACCGGTATTTGCTGGAATATTCTAGATGTTTCGGTGGAAAAGGCCTATAGAAAGCCGTTGGGGCCGCGACCGAGGCAGTATTGAATTGGCGACACAAGTGAAGACTTAGGAGCGAAATACAGTGAACTAGTGTTAAGTTTGATTAATTATTAGTGTGTATTAGTTTTAATTGGTGTTCGGTAATTAAAATGTTAATTTTGGTAATTCAACCGGCATTTTATTGTCACGAACCCTAAGCTCGTAACAATACGTCCCACCACTGGGCACAGGCCATACTCATTTCGGAAAGGGTTTTAGGGCAAGGAAGTGTCCGCCACGCTGCCCCAATGCGTGTTGACAAACTTCATGTCTTCGAAAAATTTTTTTTTCTTATTCATCAGACATGCAGGTTTCCTCACGATGTTTTCCTTCACCGCAGAGCACGTGTAGTACATAACACAGTAATATGGTTTGTTTTAATTTGACAAACGTGGTATATGTGTTAGAGCCATGCCGCAGCTATATTATAGTTGCAGCACGAATGGGTGGGGGTGACCGGGGAAGAAACACGTTCTCGTAAAATATTAGCGCAGAATAGCAGCATTAAATGCTGCTGTATTTCGTATGGTGAGTGTATTCAACCAGAGATGGAGGCACTTTTTACTGGAAACAAGACATTCTCTCTTTAGTCTTCTGGGGTTTAATGCATCTGTATTTTGATTCTTCATCGAGGATTGATGTAGATATCTATGGGCAACAGTATCCACTTACCATCAGGTGGACTGTGCTCGTGTGTCACTCTTATTCTCAAAAAAAAGGAAAACATGGTAACTGTAAACTGACCTTCTTTTATTGAAGTTTTGTCTAGAAATTTTATGTTTTCCGTGCTTCGCTCTTTAGCACTGACGTCTCCAGAAAGCCAGGCATTCTTCCTAAGCTTATTACTTCTCGCTATAGGCGTAGTAGGTAGACTATAATTCTTGATATCGAAATTGTAAGTCGACCTTTCGCTGCTTCCGTTATCTTTGACAATAGATTTAATAGAATCTAAGTTGAATTCCGGCACATTTATATGTAACGGCTTATACGACTGTGGTGTGAAACTGCGGCTTAATTTAGTTGCAGATCGTTCGCTTTTGTCTTTTATGCTAACGTCATTTAACGCTAGGCTTAAACCGCGGGGGTCAGGACTCAGGATGCTACAATACTCTGTAGAGTCACTTTTGTGCAACAATGGCGTATTCTCCCTAATTCTAGCCTGTAGTTTTGTTATTGGGGTTGAACAGGCGCTTGAAAAATCTTTTTCCGGTAAATGGTCATATCTCAAAACAGGCCGTATGTTTTCGACAGCGCCATCGTCGTCATATATGAAGCATCTGTCTGGCATAGAACATGTTTCAACAGTCTTTGGAATCGTTTCGTACATTGGACTCGCGACATTTCTAGAAATTTCTTTGTCGCTGTCTGTAGAACTGTCACGCTTGTGAATTACAGCTTTGTGTTTAATTTGTTTCGGGCTTTGGCACTCGGAATCTGTTGGTGAAGTGGTGTCCCAGGCTTGAGTGCTGAAGTTGGACTTCGTTTTCGAAAGTCGGGCGGGTATGATTATATACTCCATGTCGTCAAGGTTACACTGAAATCAAATGAATATCAAAAGTATATTTTGCTGAACTAGCGATAAAAATTTCACTGTCCTTGAGCAACACAACACGGTTTTGATCCAAGCCGGCATTAATGAAATAATTGGTTGCAGTTTTAAGTGCTGATTTACCACATGCTCGGCGGTGAAGGAAAAAATCATAAAGGAACCTGAGCCTTAGAAATTTTAAAATTTCCAGAATATTTGTAGGGTTTACTGACGACACGCACAGCAACACGACAGACTCATTGGTCCATAGTGGTCTCAAAAATGAGAGGACTGTGCCCAGCTGTGGGATGCTGTGGGCTGTTACAATACAGATCTAGTCGCGTCCTAACCTATGCTATTAGAGATGTCGATAGTCAAACTACTACAGATCCCTAACCAACGACATCTAACGTTACAGCCTACTAAAAGTCCACTGCTTAACATAGGCCCCTCCCATAGAATGCATCACAGAGGGGATATTCGCCATGGTTGCCACAATTATCTTTTTATTTTTTAGTTTTTGTAAGGATGACGATGCAGTCCATCTCGTTTGTTTTTTTCCGTCGCCACTTACGACATCCAAGGGAATCGCTCCATGGGACAGTGGATATTCTTACAATCAACGACATCTATTTTTGGATACACATTATCTCGGTCTTGGATTCGAACAGCGGCGTAATAGACAGACTGCATGGTCATCGAATCTTATAAAAAAAATAAACAGAAATTTAATTCTATATAGATTATAAATAATACTTACTGAAAGTCACTTTTTTGTTTAATTACCCTAGTGGTAGTCCCAAAAAAAACCTCCGTTCTGGAAAGATCCAGTAAGAAACCCAGCACTAAAAGCTCATAAATCAATTTAACAATTTACCTTCACAGTTTGCAGTGTGGTCTGTAAAGTGTTCAGATCTGGTCGGTTCTTACGCTGCAGCATCAGTCCGTCCTGCAGAAGCGCCAGCAAACCACCAGGGTACGTGCCGTCTTGGGGAAGCCTTATCCCGGTCTTCCAGGTTAAATATACTTCTTTTAGCTTTTCGTACTTCAATGTCTTCCATGGTATTGCCGCTGTAAAAATAAATTCTTTCTAAAGTAACAATGTCTCATTTCGCACGTTAGTATATTAAAAAAAAAAGATTATTTTATTGAATTTAAAACTACAACGGGATGAGTGGTTACATTAAAAATTTATTTATCAAATATTAAATAAAGGATACCTATTATATTATAGACAATCACATAACACGATTCAGCACCACCTGCATTCTTTGAGGCCATTTAACACTTCATTAGGTCATAAAACTGTCGTTTCGCCGTGGAAAGAAAAAGAGGGAATCCCCCATCGCGCAAGGTATTCAGCATGGGGAGCGGCCAACGCATGTGCTTGAACAGAGCTGTGTTATATTCAGCACAGTACTAGGGAATTTTTGATAGCGTGATGCAGGCTTCGGCGCGATTCGCTTGTGGCGCGACGACAGCGCCCTACAGTCTTACTGCACTTGTTAATGTACGACTGACACTCTTATCCTAAGGTCCTTACAACAGTTCTACAAGTATGCCTGATTATTGAATCCGAGAATGATCCGTTATATTAGGTACGAAGTGTATGAAAGACCTTATCTATGGCGATACTTTTTCTTGAACTTTTGTTCTTAATCTTACAATGAATTCGTTTTTGTTTACATTCGTCATGTGTTAGATGCTTTCTATGAAGTTTGTACTTAATACAAACAAAATGATATTCTCAATCTTTTGAGTTGTGATAAGTACATGAAACTTTTGATGTAAATTTATATTCTTGACCATCTGATAAATCGGTTTTTTGAACAAAAAACGTTACTTTAAAAGGCGGACAATGAATAAAATAATGAAAAGTAAAAGCTAGCTGTAAAGAACCACAAAGTGTAAAATTTTCCACATAACTTCTAAAGTTAGAACTTTAATTGTTCAATACACTATGCCTTAGCACCAATTTCAGAAGCTATTATATATGGAAATTCTTTTACTATTTGACCCATTTGAGTTGACTTAGGAATATTACAAGTTCAAGGTAAACAACTAGAATTTCGTGTAAAAACTTAATTCCATTACTTTTTTGCTAAACTTATATGAAACTATGCTTGAGGTTTAAGCTATTCAAATAAAAATATCATTGCAACTCGTTCATAATTAGTAAAGATATCGCGTAACATATATAAAATACATACAGTCGAATTTAGAACCTCCTCCTTTTTTAAAGTTGGCTAAAATTTACAAGCATTAAGACTTCTATAAAATGTATTAGTTTTCGTTATGTAACTAAATTCTCAAAGAAATATAAGAACTCACCATTGCAACATTCCCAAAGTATCAAACATAACGAATACACGTCGGTCTTAGAACACGGATACACCAGTCCGTGTGCATCGGGCTCAAATAGCTCCGGCGCCTGCCAGCGATATAATTCACTGTCATGGTAACTTGCATATTCTTTCGCTATTGCGTTAGCTGATAAATACGCTTCAGATACTGTTTCAGATAAAAGTGCCTGTTTTTCTACCGGGTTGGAGTCGTTAGCCTCTGTAATCAATACATATAAATTAATCCCCTCTGTATCACTATCTCCAAAGGATGAGAAAAAAGTACGGAAAGAAAATATACCATGCACCCCGATATGATATGATGATAAAACTATCTCTGAACTTTTTCTTATAGAATTAGGTTGACAAACGAGCACACAGTCCATCTGATGAAGATGAAGTGGATGCTGTAGCCCTTGGACTCAACAATCAGCCCACCAAACGTGACAGATACAGCAAATCCTTAATACGTTATAGTACTTTAGTAGTTATCTAACTATCTGGACTATTTACGAGCTGAGGCAGCTGGAGGCAGTAAAAAAATCCATCACCCTATTTAGCCACTTTGACGCCAGTAGTGACGATGTCAATGTGTAATAGTAAAGTTACAGCCTATATACGTCCCACTGCTGAGCACAGGCCTCCTCTCATTTCTGAGAGGGTTTTAGGACAAGGAAGTGACCGCCGCGCTACACCAATGCGTGTTGACGAACTTCACGTCTTCGAAATACATTTTTTTTATTTGTCAGACATGCAGGTTTAGATTAGTTTACGACAGGCTGTTTTCCGCAACTCCACGCCTAAGCGCGTATTTTGCGTGTGGGCAGGAATAATATGGTTATTCGAGCCATGATATCTCCCCGAAGAAGTTCAACAGTCCTTTGATGTTGCAAGCAACTTCGGGGAGCGATCCTGGCGTGCCGAGATGTTTAGCCCTGTATGAAGCGACTTCTGGACATGTTAGAAACACATGATTTCTTCCGCGTACGACCTCTCTGTGGAATAGTTTACCATATTTTAATAGTTTACCACCGGCGATTTTTCCGGACCGATACGACCTGGGGACCTTCAAGAAAAGAGCTTACTCCTTTCCAAAGGGCCGGCAACGCACCTGCAATTCCCCTGGTGTTGCGGTTGATCATGGGCGGCGGTAGTCACTTAACATCAGGTGAGCCGCATGCTCGTTTGCCCCCCTCTTCTATAAAAAAAAACATGAGCCGCCGTTTCTTCCTCTCCTCTGCATGCTCTGCACAGGGGGCTATCAGTAACACCTATGGTTGTTATTATAACCAACGTTTGTTAAAAGAGCCATATCCTGTGTTTGTTACTATCCTGATCTGTGGCTTGTTCAGTCTCATTAGAACCTTGGTTAGACGACTGTTTACAGTTTGCAGAGATGCAGATTTCCTCACGATGTTTTCCTTCACCGCCGAGACGTGGTAAATCAGCACTTAAAATTACAATTAACAATTTCATTGCTGTCGGCGGGGATCAAACTCGGTTTCCTCGCGTACTGTGATATTTACAGCGATCGCTAACTATCTGAGCTACCACGGCCAATGTGTAATAGCGGTATAAGAATATCCATTACCTCTTGCGATGCTGGGGGCTACTGATTCGCATCTCGCACGGAACAATTATTTGTATGACCTACAATTAATTGTTCCGGTCTGGACATTTGACCTTGTCCAATTTATGCTTATAAACTGCCTCCACGATACAGAAGAAAATCCTAGTACGGCGTGATAATCCTAACATATTTTTTACGTAGTAGAGCCATGCTGCAGCTATATTAATTGTACAGTTGTAGCACGAATGGGTCGGCTCGACCGGGAAGGACCACGCTCACAGAATACCAGCGTCAAATAGCAGCTTAATGCTGCTGTGTTTCGTGTGGTGAGTGTAGAGAACTGGAGACCCTTTTTTACTGGAAAAGAGGCATTCTATCTTAGTCCTCAAGGCTGACAACGCATCTTCATATTGATTCGCAATCGAGGATAGATGTAGATGTCTATGGGCTACAGCAACCACTTACCATCAGGTGGACTGTGTGCTCGCTTGTCACCCTTTTTCTATAAAAAAAAAAAATCTATATTAGGTACCAATGCTAGAACTACTTTTAATTTTATTTTAATTTCCGTTTAATCTCTAAATGTATTTAGTGCACACAGTTCGAACAATCAAAATACAAGATTTCACAAACGTGAGCACAACAATGGTCGAAAACTACGCATATTATCTACACTGTACGTAATTAAGTAGGTATTGTCTTTTGGGGACGTTGAAGATTTTGTGGTTCATAAAACGTCAAAATAAGCGTCATTATTATTTAAAGAACACTTTGGTCTCAGGCTTAGAAAACGTCAATAGTAATTTGATTCATATAATAAGATAGAACTAGAAACGTTTATCAACCCTGATTAAAAATAATCTGTATAATGTGTAATCTGTACACAGTTGACTTAACACGGGTTATATAGTTTACATGGTAGATCACGTTGCAGCTATATTATGGAGGTAGCACGAATGAGTCGGCTTGAACGGAAATGAACCACGCTCTCACTGAATACCAGTGTAAAATAGCAGCTTAATGCCGCTGTGTTTTCGTATGGTGAGAACCAGAGACCCTTTTTACTGGAGACGCGGCACATCATCTTAGTCCTAAGGAGTGGCAACGCGTCTGTATTTTGATTCACCTACCATTAGGTGGACTGTGTGCTCGTTTGTCAACCTTATTCTATAATACATATATATAAATACACTAGCTTGCCAGGCAGACGTTGTTCTGCCCTTTTCGACGACCCCTGGTCATGTCCTATTAAAAATCCTTAAATTCGCAAAAAAAAAACACTTTGAGAAAGTTAGTTTGTTCAGAATCGTTTACTGAATCGATTCCTATCATTCTTAATATAGGTAATTTTTTATCCCAAAAATAATTAAAACTACGTAAAACACAGTCACACTAAATCTGTACAGTCAAAACAAACTGAAATGGACCGTAACTTAAGGCAATAAGACTTTTAAGAGTGCAGTTTTATTTGTATTATTACTAATTCTGTCATTCGATAAAAATAAAGAAAAATTAACTTTATTTCAAGCACGTTAAAGTCTTTGCGTTCGTGTATTTGTACTGTGACCACAACATTCTTCCGGAATTAGTATAACTAATTTGATAAATAATCAGTGCAAAAAAATGTTTAACTAAAAATTCAGTGTATGTATTATAACATAATATACTAATTGGGGTGTCTGAGGGTGTGCGTTAATTACGTTACATATTGTATATATGACTGCGATATTCAGTCAGAATTTTTGACGGACAATAAAATATTTTCCGGTATTTTTTGTATGGACATGCATCTGATGTAGTGATCATGATACCGACATGAGCTATGCTGCCGTGTAGTGGCTCATCTACCCGCCAAGCATGGTAGCTATTGCAAGTTCCTCTTGTAAGGCAATGGACGAGGGTTATGTTTAGCGGGCTTTTATGATGATGGTGATGCAGCTGACGTGAATACTGTTTCAATTAACAAAAAAAAAATAGTGCGCGCAATTTATTATCGGAATTTATTTTTAGGCATTATGGGTACACTTCTAATATTACAAACATAAATAGTTATATACTGGATAAATAAAACATTGAATTTTACTGAAGTGTAACTCGATACTAACAGTCGATTAAATGCCGACATTATTAGACACGTGAGAATTTTTGCTCGCTCAAACAATGCCCACTAATCGGTTCGTATCAAGAGCGTGTAAGATACGCCAAGTCGATAAGTCATAAAAGCGAATGTTTCTCTGGTCAGTACCGTAATATTGTACTATTCGTATGAAATGCTTGATCTAATTTTAGACGGCTCCGTGACACAGTAACTTAGTAAAGATTTACGGCATTGAGGGCCGCGGTTTAGAATTCTGCAGGGAATCAGCGTGTGTATTGGCCTACAAGATTGTTCCAGGTCTGGAAGTTTGTCCTTATGCAATTTATATACGCAAACTACCTCCAAGATGCAGAAGAAAATTCTAATGTAGGCATAACGGTTTAATACGTGGTAGAGCCATGTTGCAATAATATTAAGGTTGTAACGCGAACGGATAGGACCACGCTTTCGCAGAATACCAGCGTAAAATAGCAGCTCAATGCCGCTGTCTATGGGTCACTGTGTGCTCGCTTGTCATCCTTATTCTACAATAAAGAACTTTTTTTTTAATTGAGAATTTCAACTGTTACGGCCCTCAGTTGCCCCGACAAAAGTCGACTGGGCTAGGGACCATAGTAACCCAACTCGACGGCCAACAGAGGGTACGGCCCCAAATGGCCCATGGATAATTATTATATAATAGCTGGATAAGCAAACACAAACTTACCTAGTTCCGGAGGTAGGGTAGACCACAAGGTACAGTCAGGGGCAAGTAAATGTTAGGTGTGACTGGTGTAGGATGGTGTGTAATGTAACCTGATGTCACCGATGTAATCGGCTAGCAGACCCACATGCGCTGCCCTTCTCCACAAGGTGCAATCACTCCAGTGGGCGTTCACCGTTATCTGAACTCAAGTCTAACGTCACTTAGCAGCATACTATAATCGAACAGAAACGCGATCTCCTCCCGGATCACAAAGTTTAGCGTTCAACCCGACAAAGCAAAAATTCCTTCGTACGATATTAAAACACGACACAAGCCACGCGTCGACGCAAATTAATGGCAATCGAAGTAAAAAAATCACTCAAGACTCAAGGAAAGCCTCGTTGTCACGTATACAAACAAAAAAAAAAACAACGCAAAGGAGGCGACGTGACGTAACGATTCTACCCTACATGGCCGTAGCGCACAAAGATTATCCCAGACTAATGGCACGCCGCAGGCCGCAAACGAACGCCCCCCGCATAAACCGGTTCCTCGCCCGAGACGAGCGCCTTGCAAATTTTAGGTTGCTACAATTTGGCCTAAACATCAACATTTACATGAATATAAAATCGAGATATTGTCACATGTAAATGTTCGTGATCAGTGAGCACTCTTACCTTGAATATTTATATATTGTGGTTCTGGCGAGTACTCCTCGTAGAATTTCTCTTTCTGTTTTCTGGGCATTAGTTTGGCACAAGGCCCTACATCGGCCAATTTGGCAGTGTCCTGTGACGTGATCATGATGCTTGAACTAGAAAGCTGTGTGTGCAAGTAGCCCTGCATCCGCAAAAACACTAAAGCGTTCGCAATATCCAATGCATACCTGACCGATGTCTGGGCACTTATGATCCGGCCCTGGAGACAAAATTTCGTAAAATTACAATTTGCAGCCCATCTGATAAGATATTTGCAAAGCAATTTTTTATTGTGATAGAGCCAAGCTGCAGCTATATTATAGTTGTAGCACGAGAGTTGACAGATGTAGGACCACGCTCTTACAGAATACCAGCATAAAATAGCAGCTTAATGCTGCTGTGTTTCGTATGGTCAGTGTAGAGAGCCAGAGATCCTTTTTACCCCACCCATCACATTCTATTAAAAATATAACTATTGAAACAGTTGAAATTTGTTAAAATTTTTATAATTTCAATAATACAGAATCTTAAATTAACTACCTATTTCGATATTACAGCAATCACATTACCTTTACATGAAGCACTCCATACAGCGAGTCCACGCACCTCTCACATATTATGTACACGTCGTTATAAACGTCGGGATATAATCCCATCAATAGTATTATATTAGGGTGACGACATTTTCTGTAACATAAATTTATATAATAAGCAATTTTTTTAAAAAGCAATTTAGCAATGCTATGAACATTGCTAATATTCTCTTTAACCACTCCTGGTAAGTTTAAAACGCTTGTGTTAGGAGTAGTTCACGATAGTAGTCAAACGGTGGATTCGAACCCACGACCTTTTGAGTTCGCGGTCCGCACCCTGATATTAGGCGAATGTCATGCATCGAACTAATTGTTTTTTTTTTTTGAAAGAATATTAACAATGCTATAAACATTACTAATATTCCCCTTAACCATTTGAAGCCTTTACTGCCTAGGAGATATTTTGGGTAGGTATGACCCACTTACCTATTACCGCCGCTGAAGCGTATAGAGAACCAGTACAATCACAGGCTGAGAGGCATTCCATCTTTGCGTAAGCAGTGACAGTACATTTGTAGCCTTTTTTTCTTTAAAGTCAGTTTTAGGTAGTCATTGAGTTGAAGTAGCACTTAACTATCAGGTGGACTGTTATCTCGCATTTCACTTCACTAAAAAAAGTGTGCAGTTCACACTTGGTGGAAGTAAAACCTTCAGAAAAACTTGTATTATGTATTCTATCTCATTATCTCTATAACGGGTGAACGGAATAGAATCCTATGGTACTGATATTTTACATTTTTCTTTCTTTTACATTAACTTACCATGAAATTGATCTATTAATAAATACTACTTATTTGAAATAAACTTTCGCTAATAAAAAAATAAAAACAAAAATATTAAACTAAATAAATAAATCAATCAAAAACTCGAAATTAAAATAGTACGCACCCAATTAGTAGTATTTATTGATACATCCATTTCATAATATTATGTTATGTAAAAAAAAATTGTAAAATATCAGTGCCATAGACTTCTATTCTTTTCACCTGTTTTACACCCTTTTTTATCCAGACGATAAAAAAGATCTCTAGTTTATAGATGAATATGTTTGTCTCTTTTTAGAGTGGCTTTTTCGTTACATCGAATTTCAAATCACGATTCCAGTTTCACTTCAAAAAATATATATACTGTATACAGTAATAAAACATTGGCATACATACATAATCATAATCAATAATCAAAAATGTACGAAATTGAATTCCCAGTTGTTATTTTTTTTTTAAAATTTGGTTTGCATGTATGTCTATAAAATATTTGCACAGCATATAAAGTGATAGAATGTAAATGGACCATTAGACATAATTTAAGATCATACTTTATTATACGCATACATTCTGGCAAATAAATGAACTTGAATTTTTAAATTTAAAACGTTCCCACGGTATAAAATAATAGCTTATCTTTAAACTAGTTCTAGGTTAGACAATTACCTCAATATATTGATCTCAGTATTCCGTTTTTTCTTAACTTGCTCGATGGTGACCCCTACAATCTTCTTTATCTGTACAGGCACCACACCCCATTTGCCTTTTATCCAGGTTCTCGTGTTGTCCAGTGTCACACTCAAGTCGCTTGAACTTGTAATAGGTAAGCCATAAACGCTCGCGTCGCTCTGTGAAATTAGCACAGCGACATTGCAATTGTGTAACTCAAATAGTTAGCCGGTGGAAACGACTCCATAACCATGTCGTGATATTTCATTATGTCATCATTTTGTATTTTTATTTTTAGTTTTGAATATAAAAGGGCATCAGCTTATAACCCATACTGATACATTTACATTATACACAATATAACGAATAACGAAACCAAACATAAAACGGCCAAGCGAAGCCAACCATGAATCCCATCAGAGTTGCACAATTGCACTTCCGATACTGCTGACGCACCTACGACCTTGTTTGCTGCAGTGTAGTTTTCTGCAGTATAGTTTGGTGCAGTGTAGTTGAGCTGACGATCCTGTAGCCTTGTCGGCTGCAGTGTATTTTGCTGTAGTTGGGCTACTGTTGCCAATTACCATCAACATAATATGGTATTCAAGCTCGTTTTTGTTTCTTCAATGTCAGAAAAAGGACATTAAGTTCACAATGACCTCGATAATTCAAGATTGTGTACTTTGAGAAATTGTTTAACCTAAAATGAGCTGCCTTGTTTACAGTTTTTTATTACAGGTTGACATCCATTAAAAACAGTACTAAAATGTACATAATAAGCTTTTGAAAATCTACAGTGATAAAACAAATTTCCCTTCTGTAAGTATTAAGTTTGACGATAGCGTAATTTTCAATCAATTTCGATTGAAATTAATATATTACATTAGTTAAATGCGATTTAGTTTAATTTAAATAATCGTTCAAATATTAAGTATGCCACTGATGCCAAAGGATGTATTTGTGCTAGATCAAAATCCCTTTCACTTTTAAGTAACTCACGTAATTTAATATCTTGAATTTTACTCATGCTTTCGTTAATATCTTTTGGAGCATGCACCAGGACATTCATATCATTCTTGCAGACACACAATCCTATGTCTAACAATATGTACTACTGTTTTACGAATATATCACCATAAAAGTAAAAGTCAGTCGATACTTAAGCAAAAAAATAATAAAAGTCAGTCGATACTTAAGCATCTATTGATTGTGAAATATAATTTAATAAAAGTCAGTCGATACTTAAACATCTATTGATTGTGAAATATAATTTAATAGTTAACTGGAACCAATAAATTTTTCATTCCCACTTATATATTCTCTTCAGTCGACTTTAACATCAAACAAATGAGAAGGTCATGGTTTCTCTCACAATGCGCTAAACAAATTGAATGGCTCATAAAAATCAAGTACAATACAAACTTTTCTTGTGAAAACAAAACAATTAAACACATCATAGCTAATTTCAATTGTGCGGGGCGGAATAAAAAGTTGTTTTCTCAAAAATTACATTTCAGTATCACTTTTCAGGTAGGTATCGAGATTGAGAAGGTCAACGCATCTCTCATACTCATAACACACATTGCATTTTTGTTGAATGTTCTATAATAGTCACAAAATATAGTAATAATGTGATGGTTATAACTTTTTCAAGATCTTAATGGAATAGTGGAGCAGAGTAGATGGTGCGAGTACAACCAGATATTGCGGCTGAATAGAAACTATTTTAAACAAGTATTAAAATAAAACAATTTGCACAACTGACTTCAATATAAATAAAATGAGAACATCATAAATGTAACCGAAGTCAAAAAAATACGCATTAATAAGGATAATTCAAAAACTACTACTCAGATCTTGATCTTTATTTGGGACCACATGAGAAGCACCAGCTTTCTTATAATAAAGAATCATCAAAATCCGTTCGCTTAGAAAAAAGTTCTAAGGTTCACATAAAAAAAATACATTCGAATTGAGAACCTCCTCCTTTTTTCGTCGGTTGAATATATGTTTATAGTCGAATTCAAAGTGCGAGTACAACCATAAATTGCGGCTGCAAATCAACCAAAATAATATCAATTAAATGTTTTTTAAAAAACTTACTTTGTTATCGTCGGACTTCGTAGTGTTTATCGAATGCGCTTTTAACTGTTCGTCCGCCCACTGGTCGAAGTTTTTCAGTTCGCCCATCACCTCCCACATTTTATCTTCACAACTGTCATCCTTTTTAACATCGACTGGAGAATTATGACTAGACGATTTAACATTTTCCTCACCTTTCGACCCATCTACGTCATCGCTTCTAGGTGTATCTAGAAAATTCTTAACATCAAACGATAAAGAATTGTTTTTAAAGAATAAGGGTGGCGGTATTAACTGATCTTCCTTAAAATCTATATGCCTTTGAACCAAAAAATCCATATCTGGAGGCCTGTACACCCGGTGCGAATGTCGACGAGACTTCGCTGGTTCTGAATAGGAAGAGGAGAACATGTTTCCAGGCATGAAGACCTGATTTTGAAAAAGGAATTGAATGTTTGGAACTTTTTCTTCCGCGCTAGACCTTCGTTTAACTTTGTGGATCTTTTTCTTGTACTTCGTAGCAGATTTCTTTTCGTAATTAAAAGTTGAATCGGGATCCCCTGTACAGTCGGTGCACGATACTGGCAGTGAATGGCGCCCACATTTCCGTTTATCGGGGGTAGTTGGTATATCTTTGCTTGCGGATGATCTCCTCGCTTGGAATTCCGCTAAGTCCCGTTTGTACTCCTCGGTGCGTATGGTACCGACCTGTGTTATGTCTGGTGGCTGTTCAACTTGTGCGCTTGGGCTTACTTGACGTGTGGTTACAGTCACTCTCTCCCTGAAAATAATAATAATACATTTATTTACTAATATAATATATATTTATTTATTTTACGTGGTAGAGCCACGCTGCAGTTATATTATGGTTGTAGCACAAGTGGGTCGGCTCAACCGAGATAATACCACGCTCTCACAGAATACCAGCGTAAAATAATGTTTCGTATCGTGAGTGTAGAGAACCGGAGACCCTTTTAATGAAAATGAGAAATTGATTCTTAATTGAGAATAAATCCAGATGTCTATGGGCCACAGCATCCACTCTTCATCAGGTGGACTGTGTGTGTGCTTGTTGTCACCTTGTCACTTGTCACTCTATCCCATATAAAATCCTATATAAAATATTTACTCTCACAATTTAGGTTTAACAAAAGGTAGGTATAGAGTCTGGCAGTGTCTGTACTCTGTACTTAGCGGAAGCCCGTGTTGCGGATCACCAGGGTCTCCCCATTAGGATACTCTGCTCTTTGTCACCTTTATCTATTAATACTGTGCTCGTTTGTCACCTTATAACAATATCAACATAACATGCAATTTTTATGATTAGCAATTGCGATACTTCATATTGTATTAACAGTATTTTGATGATTAAAATGATAAAATGTTTTAAATACAACAAATACAATTTCACTATATAGTACAAATTTCAATAATTAATAACAATATTTAGCCAATTTTGAAACTAAAAGGCGTTTGTTTTTTTAGCGTCATAAAGCTCGGAAACTCCGGGCTATTAGCCTGTTGGTCGCTAGCTAAATACAAAAAAAGTTCGGAATTATTGATGGTCATAATGAGGATACAATTAATAAATTAATGTTATTGCATTTGCAGGTATAGTATAGTATACATAACAATATCCGACTCCGAAAAATGAGTTTAGTTTCTTCCCGATTCTGATAGTTTTAAAAAACTTGCTTTAAGTAAGCGAATTCTAAATTTAAATTTAATAAAAAGAAATCACTTTTATACTAGGTATCAAAACGATTTATACTAGGAACACACAATACAAGATTGTTCGTGGTTGTTCTATCAAATGGACTTAGTTATCTATTGACAATAGTCTAATGGCAGGGTGCGGACAGCTAACTCAATAGATCGTGGGTTCAAATCTGCCATTTGACTACTGTCGTGAACCACTCCTCATTTTAAGTTTACCAGGAGTGGTTAAAAGGAAAATTAGTATTGCTAGTATTTAAAAAAATTACTTGTTACTCAAAACAAACAAAGTGAATTGCGTATTTGGGGCCTTCATTAACACATTCTGTTACATTACATACCTCAAAGTAAACATTAAACGATGAAACAGTGATACATTGTCCATCCATCAAAATGTATTATTGATATTAGAGCCGTGCATAAAATAAAATATTGATATTTTATGTACGGTACAGTCGAGTCCGGCCCCGTTTACTTCTATCTTATGTTTATAATGGATTCAACATGGTGAGAAATCGTCAGCCAAAAACGAACAAAGAATTGCATAGAGAAACAAACATCAGAGAAGCCATAGAATAAGTTAGAAACAACAAAAAAGAAAACAGCTGTCATTTCTTCTTAAACATGATCTAGCTTCTGTTTCAATAGTCGACATAGAATTAGAATTACCGAGTTCTTGCGGGAAGACTAAACGGCAAGATAATATTTTTAAACATTTTCCTCGTAGATTTAAAAAATAAATATTATTTCGGCTAAATACGAGGGTGGATTGAAAAGTACTCGGCCTAACACAGATCCATTCAATTCTAAAAATCAAATCTACCCACATTATTTAGTTCAGTTCAGACTAGTTCATTGTGTGAAGTTCGAAACGTGTGCGATAATTAGTTGTGATTTTATAAATTTATTAACAAAGTAATCGGACATAATTTCCGCGAATGGAGCAAATCGAGCAGCGTGCCGTCATTAAGTACCTCCATAAGAAGGGGCTATCATCAAAAGCCATCCATGATGATATGGTCAGTACATTAGGCGATTGTGCTCTGTCATATTCATCCGTCAAAAAATGGATAGCAGAATTTAAGCGTGGTAGAGAGAGTGTGAAAGATGAACCCCGCTCTGGAAGGCCTTCGACGTCAACTACTGACGAAAATATTAAAAAAAGTACTTAATTTAATAATGGGAGACCGCAGATTAAAAATTAGAGAGATAGCTGAGATTATAGGCATCTCTTATGAACGAACTCAAAACATCATTGTCAACGAGTTGGGTTTCCACAAGGTGTCTGCGAGGTGGGTTCCGCGACTGCTTTCAGTTGAACAAAAAAGGACGCGATTGACTATTTCACGCGCCTGTTTGGAGTTATTTGAAGCCGATGCAGATGATTTTTTGAATCGTTTTGTTACTATAGACGAAACATGGGTTCATTACTGTACACGGAAACAAAACAACAATCAAAACAGTGGAGAAGACCTGGTTCACCACCCCCTAAAAAGGCCAAGTCGATTTTGTCGGCAAATAAGGTGATGGCTTCAGTATTCTGGAACTCGAAAGGTGTGATTATGATTGATTATCTTGAAAGGGGTCAGACTATAAACTCTGATTACTACTGCACCTTACTACGTCGTTTACGAGAGGAAATAAAAGAAAAACGTCGAGGAATGCTCAGAAGAAAAGTCCTGTTTCATCAAGATAACGCCCGTGTTCACACGTCAGTACAGTCAATGGCTGAAATTCACAACTGTGGCTTTGAACTGTTATCGCATCCGCCGTATTCACCTGATCTGGCACCATCAGACTTCTTTCTGTTCCCTAACCTAAAAAAGCACTTGGGAGGTCAAAGATTTTCGACAAACGACGAGGTCAAAGCAGCTGTAGACGCATATTTTGACTCTAAGGAAGAATCATTTTTTTTCAACGGTCTAAATGCTTGGAAGGGGAGGTGGCAAAAGTGTATTGAACTTGATGGTGATTATGTAGAAAAATAAAAATATAACTGATTTAGTATGTGTTTATTTTCTTGGTTAGGCCGAGTACTTTTCAATCCACCCTCGTAGCAATAATGTCACTGATAATATTTAAGAATTGTTTCGGTGTATTTTAGTAATTGTTTTAAGGAATAAAAATTTATGTTACTTTGTGATCCGCTATGTTTGATTGCGCGCCGGGGAGTGTTTCAACCATCGATCACTTATAAAATTAGTGATCGATGGTTTCAACGTACTAAAATTTCGTTGAATTTCTAAATACATTTTTAATAAATGAAAATGTTTTTTTTTTCATTTCATTTCATTGTACCCCACTTGTCCCTACGTAATATTTAGGTTTCTTTTTTATAGAAATAAAGATGAAAAAACTCAAGCGAGGTGCACGAAGTGAACGAGTTTAGATTCCATTTGATGGCAAGTGGATGATGTATCCCTTAGATAATTGTTGTGACTTTTCAACACTACGCCTAATTATTAGTAAATAGGATCTCCCGTAGGTGTAAAAAGAAGTTTTAGTTAGTTCAATTTCTTTGTTCACTGTTAAACTCTTTCAGAGACCACTACGAACTATGGGGTCCATCGACTACTTCGTTTTAAGAGTCGTTCAAGAGTAAGTTTAACGATAGGACATTCCACTCTACGACTACGAGTTTCATTTTAAAGATCACTACCCTGATTTCATAATGTTATATCAATTTACGTTATTTATACTGCGGACATCCTTATTGCGGATAATTATCAAATAAACATCCCATTACGAGGATCGGAATAAATTTACGTAATATTTTGCCACAACAAACTTTTTAAGTATGATAAAAATATGTCTTTTAACAGATTTAAATAACCCAAAAGTTACAAGCTAGTATTATATAAATTACGTGTCACGTTGTTTGTCCGCGATGGACTCCTAAACTACTTAAGGGGAAATATAATCTCAAATGGCTTAGCAAGATCCTTCGTTATGCCGAAAATATTGCAGCATTAATTTCGAAATAAATATATGGTAAAGTTGAGATTAATGTTAAGGATTATGTTAGACGAAAACACGATTTCATAAAAAAAATTCTCGATAGAAAAAAATCCAAAGTTACCTCCAAAATAAACAATAAACCGCTGTTATTCATAAAATACTTTAAATAAGATCACAAAACTTTGCATACTAACTGAACTAACTATAAAGCAGTGCTTATGTTATTAACTTTTTTTTAAATACCATTATTTTCACTGTAAAAAGAAATTACCTAAACTATTGGCCTCTTGAAGCGTGATTCCTGCCGCACGCCAGTGTTGCCATATATACAGATTTCCCCGTATTTATACAGATTGCCGTGTAGTGGCGGTTGAGAATATCCACTACCCCATATCTTCCCGTGGGTGTCGTAAAAGGCGACAGAGGGAGACAGGCAGGAGATGGGCAGCAGCATCTTCCTGATAACAACTGTGACGTAATAAAAAACTGCGGTTGCCAACCCGCTCGCCAAGCGTGGCAACTATGGCAAATACCCCCCAATGAATAAATACACAAACAGACGGCCCCCAGTCCCCGGCGGCCCCGCTATTCCTGGCTACGGTGGCGACCATGGTAACGGCGGGGCAGGGGGTGCTAAGAATCTCCGGTGGAGGTTCGGTTGCCACCTACGACGACTCGACCTGGCAACATATAACGCACGCACCCTGAGGACTGACGAGAAGATACTAGAGCTGGAAGAAGAGGTAGACAAGTTGCGCTGGCATATTATTGGATTATCCGAGGTCCGAAGAGAGGGGGAGGACACGGCAATCCTCGAGTCCGGCAACTTGTTCTATCACCGGGAGGGCGACCATCTGTCCCAAGGAGGTGTCGGATTTATCGTCCACAAGTCTCTCGTCAACAACGTTGTAAAGATTGGGAGTGTGTCGACGAGGGTCGCGTACCTGATACTCAGAATCACCAAACGGTATTCGCTGAAGGTCATTCAGGTTTACGCACCAACCTCGGCACATCCCGATGAGGAGGTGGAGGAAATGTATGAGGATATTTCCAGAGCCATACATTCCTCCAAAACCCACTACACGGTGTTGATGGGAGACTTCAACG